GTGGGGGGGGGGGGGGGGGGGGGGATGAAAAAATAATTTTAAAGGAAATTGTAACAGGTGATAATCTGGGCTTCAAATTGCTTGAACTGTTAGATTCCTCCAGGAAGTTCAACTTTGGGAGGCTTGATGGGAAAAGCATTTGTTTCAAAGAGGGGTTTTAATGCATTGTTTCAAGGGGAATTCAGGCATGGTTGCTTTCATCATGTTGATGAGCTACATCAGAAATTTCCTCGAGTATGCATTGAAAATTATTTTTTGCAGATAATTCTTCAGAGTTGACAGCCAACGGTAATTTCAACACAAGAAAAGGGTTAGTCTCTTTTATATATATATACAGGATAATGCAAAGTGCAGAGGGTTACAGTTTTCTGGTTCATTTCTGCCCAAAGCGCAATTTCTCTTTACTAATTGGATGATGATACAGTACTTTTATATCCAGTAATTCAATTCTGCTCTCAAAGTGGCATACAAAATTGCACTTTGAGATCACTTTGGCAATGCAGAATCAAGTCCACAAAAAACTGGTTTCTCTCATTGCAAAGTAGCAATAAATTCTGTTCTGTTCTTGGAAATGATGAGTTTCAAGCAAAGTTCAAAATAATGTTCTTGCACCAGGCAATTGTAGAGTTGGCAACCCTGATGCAGAATGATTCCTCAATATCAAGGGACCTATAGAGGCTGATGTAGTATCAACTAAAAAAAATACATTGCAAGAAAAAACAAATATTTTTGAAATGATCCTACAGCCAATGAAAGGATTCTGAAACACTTATTAGGGAGGGAGTAATAACGAAGAGAGTGGAGCAAAGGAGTTGAATACGTACTTAAACAGAGACGCGTCTCGTCACTTTGTCAACTGTCTTTGTTACTTAGGATCAGGAGATCGACTTAACTCTAACTGTGGATAGCGAGCTTGAAGATCCTCGAGACCCTTGAGGAGGTGATTGCCAGTTTTTGTCACATTGTCCAAAAGATTGAGTCAGAACTAACAGACGTTTTGTCGGAGGTTCTCGTCGTAGAAGGGTCCCAGGGGGTAGGTCCACAACTTCTGAGACATGGGAACAAAGCCGGACACTAAGTATTTCCAAAAAGTGACGTGTTAATCATCATATAAATATTCACTCCTGAGTATCCTGACACAGAAATGTTAGATTAAAATCCAATGTTCAAGTAGCAAAATTTTAAAGTCATGAATATTGTGAATCTGAATAGGCATTGAATTAATTTTACACCAAACTTGAATTACATCCATGGCTTGATCACTCATTGCTATTGCAATATGAAAGTTTAAAAAATTATGCTGGTCTGTAAACATTCACAGTACATAACAATTTGATGATATACGGGCTCAAGAAGGTTGGGGAACACTGCATTAAATCATTCACAACCTTGTTGAAAAAATACCTAAGTTGACAGGTTCTGAGTAAATTTATTCTCAAAGCAATGGCATGTGCCTGGAGCTTATTTTAGTGGCACAGAACAGTTTTCATTTTGAGGTGAATTATTGTAAGTTCAGTTAAATTTTCAAGGCAGAAATATTTCAAGAAATTTTGAGAACCAAGGACCTGACTTCAGACTGAAGCTCTTGATTCAAGCTTAACTTATTGGAAAATTTCACAACACTAATTTTTATCTTACATTTAAAAATGGCTTGTTGTTAAAAGTCCATTGTTCAACACACTACCCACTGGTCATTTCTTACATTTTGGTACCATCAGCACAGAGAAGTACTGTACAGTTACTCCACTTGGTATAATTTTAAGAACATGCCACATTTTGCTTGGATGCATATAACTGTGTGTAAACTTCAAGAAGAATCAAAATCAATAACCTGTATTTCTTTGAGAGGTAAAAGCCACCGGTAAGCATTTTCTTGCTGAATGTGACAATGTCAGGTGGGCCATCCAACTGGTAGTGCTCGTGACACCACATTTTCCCTGTGCTACCACAACCTGTCTGGACTTCATCCACAAGGAGCCCAACATCCGCCTACAACAAAAATCGCACTCAATTTAAAAACATCAAAATGGTTTTGGAGATGGAGGCCAACTCCACCAGGGGTGAGTAAAAATTACTCACCTTCTTGGTTATTGCTTGCAATTTCTGCATGAAATTTGTGGATGGGTGATGATCCCCTCCTTCGCATTGTATTGGCTCAATGACAACCCCTGCAACATCTTTTCCAGTGTTCTCGCGTTGCTCTATGAGACATTGAACCTGAAAAATAATGACCCCTGCTGGTCATTTTTGTACTGAGAATATCCATTTTTGGATTTATTACATTTATTGTAATAAATAAATATTGTAATTATTGTAATATAATATACATATTTATTGTTTTGTCTGAATTTTACTGCATTGCAATCTGCTGGCTTCAGTTAAGAGTAAAATGAATACAATTGTTGAAATCTGTTGGGGTTTGATTAGGAAGCAACACATTTGTAACGTTATAGGAACCCTTGTGATGATTTGCATAGAATATGGCCAGGATGTCATGGTTACAAAATTTGATGTTTGATTTTTATGTGCTCAGCAGTGTATACCGTGTGCTTTACAAGACAAATTAAGATGCAAAGTATCTTTTCTTGTGATGTGATTTTCTGACTGCTTTAAAAATTTTGTGAAAAATACGAGGGTTCTAACAAAAGTTCTTGGAGTAGCAATGAAAATGGCATACAATTGAATTTGCCCGCCTATCAGCTCCTCAACAGGTGAAGAAAGCAGAATGGAAGGTTAATGTGGCGGCTGTTGATGAAAATGGCAGAATTGCCTTGGATGACCTGGAGGCAACCCTTAGAAAGAATGCCAAGTTGATTTCAAAAATTCTGAGGGGAAAGCTGGGCTACAACAACAAAAAAAGGGCGCCTCATTTTTTGAGTGGAGAGCAAAACTCTATATGGATGAATTTTGCAAAAAATTTTAAAAGAATTGTCAAACCGGGCTGATTTTTTTTGTGTGCCAAAGAATATGTTTTGGCTAGAGAATACATTTTTTCAGCTCAATTG